TATCAACCCCTCAAGTGTTTGAAGTGCTATTTCATCCACAAGAGAGACACAGATGAATACTAAGAGAGGTTTCTCCAAGAGGGTGTGGAAGAGCAAAATCTATGGATGTTTGAATGACTTTCAATACAGTAAAGGTAACTGCACCTCTAAACAGCACCGAGGGTAGGGACAACGATTTATGCAGATGTGAGCAATGGATGAGGTCTGACTGTCACTAACAGGGGGAAGGTAGATCTCAAAGTGGGTCCAGAAACACACTAAGGAAAAGATTTTTCAAACTATTATTTGAATTAGTGATCTAGTAATAAGAGCAGGATTTTACAAGGACTAGCTTCTGCTCTCTCCCTTTTGAAATTACAGACAGCATGTAGACAAACAGTGATCACTCTTCATTACAGCATACTAAACACCCCCGTCAGTGCAGGAACAGGAAGAGAAGTAAATGCCTCCTGCATACTCTGCCAATGCATGAGACTGTAATGTAAAACTGTCATTCATCAGAGCAGAGTTCAGGATGGATTAATTCCCAGTAACCCACCAGAAAACATCCTGAGAATGCCGACAGACTGAGTTGCACCAAATAAACAGAATGAATTACAGAACTTATTGAACCTAGAGCATCTCATCTGGACCATGTTTTGTGATATGGTTTGTGATTGTCATTCCTTCTATTGATATGTGTGTATGTGCAACCCATTTCTTGCATTTCTTTGTACATATTATCTCTCCTTTCTTCACCTGCTGATCTTTTGGGAAATGTGAGACTAACACATTAAAAACTGTTAAAAGGGTTAGAATTGCTATTTAAAAAATTGAATTAAAAAAAATGCTGCTAAATTTTATAATTAATCCATCCAAATAATAGACTGATCATCAGAGTTAACAATGATCTCATTTCACCAATCGATCAGTCTTTGACCAGTTTTTCCAGTTATAAAATCTCTTTATTATTTAATTAATTATGATGTGCTAACTAATGGCCTCATTTCTTTAACCATAAGCAATAAGAGTAAATCAAACTGAAAAGGCGGTATATAATAAAATCCTGATTTTATTTTTTTAAACGGAGGAGTGTAAACAGATTTCTGTATATTTAACAGCTG